CACACTTCTGTCAGTGTACATTTTTAAATCTTTGGCCAATTAGATCACTGCTTTTTTATTGCTGTTGTTCTCTTGCTCACGATCTTACTTCTTGTCAATCCCTTGCCAATCATCATCCCTGAGCAATTTCTTCACATTATTCCACAAATCCTTCAAGCCTGATTACTTGTGGTCAGATACACGGGCTTTTTTGACTTACCTATCATCATCCCTCAGCAATTTTTTTCTGCCATCCTCTCTTTTAGCTCTCTCTCCTTGAATCTCTTTTCCCCACCTTTTTGCTAGATTACTTTGGTATATGAAATGGTTCTGTCTAATAAACAGCAAGCGTTACCTGTAAGATGGGTGGTCCCAAAGAAGCATATAATTATTTTTTTGATATGAAACGCTGTACTTTATTTGAGACTAAAATTGAGCATCATTCCAGAGAAGAGGGTCCAAAAATTCTGGATGTTCCGCTCTCCAAAAAACCGGATTATTACAATGAATAGCAAAATGCGATAACTTATCTGCCACAGCATTAGCCGAACGCCTCACCCAGCAAGCATGAAATTCATGGAAGTGTATAGCAATCTTCTGAATCTGCTCAATGAAAACTCCATGGCTGGACAGATTTGATTCGTCCCTCATAATATCCTCCACAACTACTTTAGAATCCCCTTCTAAAATAATACTTGTTAAACCCAGTTCCACACCTGGCTCCACAGCGTGAAAAGCAGCCAGTGCCTCTACACAATCGACACTCAAAGAACTCATAACTAACTTACATAAACCACCTATGAAATTACCCCTCCAATCTCTGGCAACAACCCCAATCCCCACTGCTTTGATGGAACTAAACACAGCCCCATCAAAATTGATCTTCACAGAACCACCAGGAGGTGCAGACCAGCAAGGCAAACCAGCCGATGAGAGTGAACGGTGGCTTCGGGTTCGATGATCCTGAGCCGCCAAATACTGATCCAGGTATGATCTTGAAAAATCTATTACTTGGGAAGGAGATTGGACAGCCCCTTCTAGACGGGCCTTATTCCTATTATACCAAATAGACCAGCAAATAACTAGCATTCGACTTACCTCCAACTGTGATAATCATCCTGTAGTGGCCACCAACCAGCTATAAACCGAAGTTACTGGACCTTCTGGGAACCTGATTTGGGATTCAAGCCACACCTGCTTCGCAAAAGGGCATATTAGGAAGACATGAATAGAAGATTCATAAGCAGCACCACAAAGAAAACAGCTACTATTGACATTTAGTTTCCTTTTTACTAGGTTACACTGTGTTGGTAAGATATCTTGAATTGCCCTCCATGCAAACAGCTTAACTTTGTTCGGAATGTTTAAGCTCCACATGAATGCGCCACCCCGTTGTCCTTGACTGCTACTTGAACCTCCATGACCTCTGCTGTCCATAATCAGGTGGTATGCACTCCTAACCGAGAATTTTCCTGACTTAGTATAATGCCAAACTAGCTGATCATCGGGAAGACTTGGACAGATGGGAATTGAAAGTATTTCCTCAGCCTCAAACTCCAAAAATATCTCATATGGCTTATCTATCCTCCAAGTTCTTAAGTCATAATCAATCAGTGAACTCACCAAAGCATCATCTGCAAGCCCCGACAGAGGATTAATAACCTTAAAACTAGTTGGTCTTGGGATCCACATATCAGATTTTATTCTGACCTTCCTCCCATTTCCAATTCACCATCGTAGACCCTCCAACACATACTTTCTCGAATCCAGCAAGCTACGCCAAGTAAAGGAGGGGTTATACCCCAGTTGAGCCTTCATTATTGAAGTATTTGGGAAATATTTAGCCGTTAAAACCTTACCCAACAATGACGATGGAAATTGAAAAAGCCGCCATATCTGCATTGCGAGAAGGGCATAGTTAAAAGCTTCAATATTCCGAAAACCCATCCCATCTCTAGACTTCGGTCTGCATAGCCTTTCCCAGGCTATCCAATAAATTTTCCTCTCAGAGCCATTACTACCCCACCAAAACTTAGCCATCAAACTGTTTAACTCCGCCCATACAGTAGCAGGTAATTTAAAACACGACATAGCATANCCCATCTCTAGACTTCGGTCTGCATAGCCTTTCCCAGGCTATCCAATAAATTTTCCTCTCAGAGCCATTACTACCCCACCAAAACTTCGCCATCAAACTGTTTAACTCCGCCCATACAGTAGCAGGTAATTTAAAACACGACATAGCAGATGTCGGAATTGCTTGCGCTACTGACTTAATGAGGACTTCTTTACTTGCATTGGATAGAAGTTTCTCTTGCCAACCTTGTACATTCACCCATACCCTCTCTTGAATAGAGTTAGAAATAGCACGCTTCATTTTCCCAATCACCGAAGGAAGCCCCAGATATTTATCATGGTGTTCAACAACAGGAACTTGTAACATGTGTTGGATTTCCCCCAGGACATCAGGCGAGGTATTCTTACTAAAAACAACAGCTGATTTAGAAAAGTTAACTACTTTTCCAGAGGCCATCTCATATTTGTGAAGACACTCCAAAATAACCTCACAATTCCTCTTTGTGGCCTGGGCAAACAGAAGGCTGTCATCCGCAAAGAATAAGTGGGAGAAAATTGGCCTTCCTCGACCCACNGGCGAGGTATTCTTACTAAAAACAACAGCTGATTTAGAAAAGTTAACTACTTTTCCGGAGGCCATCTCATATTTGTGAAGACACTCCAAAATAACCTCACAATTCCTCTTTCTGGCCTGGGCAAACAGAAGGCTGTCATCCGCAAAGAATAAGTGGGAGAAAATTGGCCCTCCTCGACCCGCTGCCATTCCTTTGAGACTCCCCCTAATCTCAGCTGCTCTTAAAAGTGCCGAGAAGCCTTCAGAGCACAACAAAAATAAATAAGGCGAAAGGGGGTCTCCCTGTCATAACCCACGTTTCGGTCTAAAACCTCNCCTTCAGAGCACAACAAAAATAAATAAGGCGAAAGGGGGTCTCCCTGTCATAACCCACGTTGCGGTCTAAAACCACTTGATTGTTCCCCATTGATTATAAGCGAGTATGATACTATCAAAACACACCTCATAATGATATTCACCCAACGTTCATCAAACCCCATTCTACGCATCATTGCTTCAAAGAATTTTCACTCAATTCTATCATAGGCCTTACTCATATCAAGTTTGAGTGACATATATGCATTACCTCCCTTTTTCTTCTGCTTAAGAAAATGGTTGAGCTCATAAGCAATCAGAACATTATCCGTAATCAGCCGTCCTGGGATGAAACCACTCTAGATCTCTAAAATTATTTTAGGTAGAATTCTCTTCAGTCTATTTGCAAGGACTTTCGCTATAAGTTTATATACAACATTACACAAGCTAATAGGACAAAAGTGTGTCATGTTTTCTGGGTTTGGGATTTTTGGTATAAGTACTATGTGTGTGTAGTTAAGACTACCACATGGGATATCAGAATTCAGGAAATCCAAAACAACTCTTCTGACATCACCCCCCACCACATTCCAAGATTTTTGAAAAAAAATTGGACCCATACCGTCTAGACCTGGAGATTTATTTGGATGAAATTGGCTCAAAGCTTCTGCCACTTCAGAAGATACAAATTCTGCTAATAAAGTGCGATTCATGTCGGGTGAAACACACGGCACAACGTTGTTTGTAATTTGCTCCACCTGATCAGAAGAGGGATGCACTGTCTTGAAAATGTCCGTAAGATAATTAACTGTTGTTTGTTCAATCTGTTCCTGCTTTGTCACCCAAACACCCTCTTCATTAAATAGGCCTGTAATCTGATTTCTCTGCTTCCTCAAACTCGCCTGAGCATGAAAGAAGCTCGTGTTTCTATCACCCTCCTTCAACCACAATGATTTTGAACGCTGCCTCCACATTGTCTCCTCCGCTTCCAACAGGTTATTAATCTGAAATTGGACCTCCCTTAATGCATTTCTTATCTCCTCTGTGATAACTCCGGCTTGCAAATTTGATATCCTCTCTCTGTCCGTTTGAATCTTTGTAGTTATATTTCCAAACTTCTCGTACTTCCACTGTAATAAGCCCACTCTGCAACTTCTCATATTACTGAGGTATTGTTGAACCAGCGAACCAATCCCGAAGCCAAGCCAACTTTTACTAATTACTTCCAAGCAAGATGGGTCAGTAAGCCACATCGGCTCTAACCGAAACTGNCCCGAAGCCAAGCCAACTTTTACTAATTACTTCCAAGCAAGATGGGTCAGTAAGCCGGCTCTAACCGAAACCGTTTTTTCCTCCTCCGTCCAACTCCACCATCTTGTGAATCTGATACTCAAAAAAGAATTTGACAATGATCCGAGTCCATAGTGGATATATTTTCAACACTACTATGTGGAAATAATGAGGACCATAGAGTAGAAGCCCAAATTCTATCCAACCTCGCCTTAATTGAGTGAGGATGGACACTTCCATTCCACCATGTAAAAGGGGCTACCCTTGAAACCCATGTCCTGTAATTGGCACACATCAACGGCCTCACGAAAATCCCTCATTTGCCAACTCGGTCGACCCTGTGCACCCCATTTCTCATCCGAAGAAACAATCTCATTGAAGTCTCCCCCAAAAATCCAAGGTAAGCTAGATCTCTGCCCCAGTAACTTCAACGGTCTCCATGAATGCTTTCTAGAGCTAGCATTAGGATGACCATAGAAACCCACAAAACGCCACTGCTTAGGAGACCCCTCATCCACAACTGCTTCAATATGAAAATCTGAATAGCTTTTCACGCTAATTTGCACTCCCCTTTTCCACAGTAAAGCAAGACCCCCACCTCTACCTCGCGAATTAACTGCCAACCCTTGCGACAGACCAACCGGAAGCTTTATTTTTCCAATCTCATCAGAAGAAAGTCTGGTTTCCATCAGGAACACCAGACTGGGCTCTTTTCGCTTCACCAGATCATGAAGCGCATGAACTGCACGAGGGTTCCCAAGCCCTCGGCAGTTCCAGCATACACCTATCATAGCTCCCGGTGGGACTGATCAACAATCTCCGCCGATGATGGTGAATTGAGAAGTAATACATGAACCTTCTTATGAGAAGCATTTCTTTTTCCAGAATCAGTTGAACACCCTGAATCTACTCCCCTCCTCTTACCCCCCACCTTAACCTCTTGGACTTTCCAATTTTCAGCTGGGATTGAAGATTTAGCCTTGCGAGACCACTTCCCTTTTCCTTTGCCTTTACCAGCCAGCTTCAACGCCCTAACCGCCCCAATGTTTAGCTCAGATAAAGACCTTTCTCCGGATAAAGAAATGTCCTCTGGTTGGATTGGGTCTTTTGGATTTCCAATGACAGAGCCCATGTTTGTTCCAGACTCCAACTGCTCCATATGGGCCGTATTTGGATTATCTGAGATTATGCCCACCTCATATAGTTCACTCACCGAAGGGGCCTGTACAATTTTTGTAGAGCCCAACACCTCAATCCCGTCTAAAATTCCCCCTTCCCTCCTGTCCTTATTTAAACCAATCATCGCAACTTTCCCGTAAATCTGGGAGGAGATTGCCTTCTCCGAGAATCCCTCCTTAACAGTGGAAGCCCTCTGATAACTGTCCCTGATTTCCGGCCTTGCATCACTCCTAGAATCCCCTTGAATCTGCCTATGATCAAGCCCCAAATCTGGAATCGGAACAGGTACCACCGGCACAACCTCCGATGAACCAGATTTGTTCTGATGTCGCAGAACCAACTTGGACTTAGTAACAGTAGCATTCAGCCAACTACCATATTGATTATCCACCCTTCAACCTTTTCCAATGTTTCTTTTAGCCCAGACCATTGCTTCATGGTGTGCCCCGCTTTACCACAGTGATAACACATATATGGAAGCCTTTCGTATTGAAAAAGGCAAAGTGGGTTTCCCCCATCCTATCCCGGAGTTTAATTCCGTGACAAAAGGGAACTGTAATGTTCACCGCAGCCCTTAACCTCATNCCATTGCTTCATGGTGTGCCCCGCTTTACCACAGTGATAACACATATGGAAGCCTTTCGTATTGAAAAAGGCAAAGTGGGTTTCCCCCATCCTATCCCAGAGTTTAATTCCGTGACAAAAGGGAACTGTAATGTTCACCGCAGCCCTTAACCTCATGAATCTACTCCCCTTCCCAAGCTCTTCACGGATTTCCACTACCTCCCACTCCTTGAAATTGCCAGCAACTTTGATTGCCATGTCCTTTGTTGTGCATTCGTGAGGAAGACCATGAACATGAATCCAAAAGTAAACCAGGTCAAAAGGAACTGAACTGATACCCATACCTTGCTGCCTTCGATTGGTAATAATAAAAAAATTATCAAAACACCATGGACCTTGAAACAGGACTTTGTGAATCTCCCTCTCTNTGAGGAAGACCATGAACATGAATCCAAAAGTAAACCAGGTCAAAAGGAACTGAATTGATACCCATACCTTGCTGCCTTCGATTGGTAATAATCAAAAAATTATCAAAACACCATGGACCTTGAAACAGGACTTTGTGAATCTCCCTCTCTTCCTTCAAGAAGATTTGGAAAATATTGGTTGAAATCCTCATAACCCTCATAGCTTTACACCCCCAAACCCCCAACATTGTGTTCTTTAGCGCAGCTGAGTTAACAAATTTCTCCGTCAAAATCTTCACATAAATACTCAAAGCACACTCCTCCAAGCCTTCTGCAATATCTTTGATGTTAAAATCAATAGCCACCTCCTNGCTTTACACCCCCAAACCCCCAACATTGTGTTCTTTAGCGCAACTGAGTTAACAAATTTCTCCGTCAAAATCTTCACATAAATACTCAAATCACACTCCTCCAAGCCTTCTGCAATATCTTTGATGTTAAAATCAATAGCCACCTCCTCTTCCTCTGTAAGAGAAAAACTCTGAAGCTTATTAATCATACCTTCCTCCGTAGTACTTCCTTCAAAGGAAAACCAGACCTAAACAATACCGAAGAAACCGAAATTGCGATTGAAGCACCACAGATCTGAATAGACTAAATCTATGTGCTAGAAAACGATAAAGATTCTGATTAAAGTTAAAGATTGAAAGAGATGAAGAAGAACAACGGGGAAAAAAAAGAAAAAGAACCAGATGGGAAAACGACAACTAAACCAGACTGTAAAACCAGATGGAAAAACGACCAACTAAACAGCACTGAAGAAACCCAAGTTACAATTGGAACACCACAGATCTTAATAGACTTAATCTGTGTGCTAGAAAACGATAAAGAATTCGATTAAAGTTGAAGATTGAAAGGGCGAAGAAGAAACGATGGGAAAAAAAGGGGAAGAAAAAGGGGGAACTCCTATAGTTGACCTAAGGAGGGAACTCCTATAATTATTTGAATAGTTAATTTCTTTTCCCATTTCTATGGCAGCCATAAAACCATTGTGGTTCTGTTTTTGTCATCTACATGAGACATTGTGGTTTTAGAGACTACAACAATGTTTACATTCATGAATGGGCTGTCAAAACTCTCTTTTGGGATTTGTTGATGTCTTGATGCTTTGAGTTCCATCTTTTTTCATTTCTTTCTACCTGAGCGCATGGTGCAAGGTTTTGCACTAAATTGTGATTCGCCTTCATTTGGAAGTCAATAGCTGATGAGTGATTTCTCTAAGAGTTATATGGCTAGTACATTTTGTTACATTTACATAATTTTTGGGCTAACCGTGTGAAAATTTATATTATTAATCATGTGTACAAGTCTTCAAAATTTTTGCACTAATGCAATTAACAATGACAGACTTTTGTAGGAACACCATTTTGGATGGCTCCAGAAGTAATTCAGAATTCAGAAGGATACAATGAGAAGGTATATCTTGGAGCAGCACGTCCTTTCCCATCTGATACATAAATTTCTCTTGTATATCTCACTTCTCGTCATCATCAATGTCAGCATCCTCTCCCCCTCAATTTCCTGTATTATGGCATTGTTGAGCCCTGAAAAATTGCCAAAATCTGAGAGCGTTTGCTTGATGCAGGCAGATATCTGGTCTCTAGGGATAAGTGCAATTGAAATGGCGAAAGGAGAACCTCCACTTGCAGATCTCCACCCTATGAGAGTTCTTTTCATTATACCTCGGGAAAATCCACCACAGGTTATATGTTATTCTTTGACGTGTTTCTTTTCTCTTGTTTCCCATTAGGAACATTCATTTTTTTCCACTTGCATCTACTGTTTTTTTGTGCAGCTGGATGAGCATTTTTCCCGCCCTATGAAAGAATTTGTCTCCTTGTGTTTAAAGAAGGTGCCTGCTGAGGTAGGTATCAAATGCTTCCTCTCTCTCTCTCTCCCCCTATGAAAATTCTATGACGTGAATTATGAGCAATCTTCACAAAGCTCTGCATCTCTGAGATAAGATTATCCATATTCAATTGAGTCAATCAGTTTCGTGTAGCAATCCTTAAACAGATGTGATGTGGTTTTGTTGGGTCTTGTATAGTTTGATTTCTCCCTGCCTCTACTTTCTGTCTTCTAATGAATGAAGAATGCTTCCTCTTGTCATCATCTTTTAGAGATGTTTTCATAGTTCACATATTGTACATTTATGGTAAACAACATTGGTTGTGCACCCTTTATGAACTACAGGGGAATGGGTTTGGATTTCTCCTTGCTCCTCCAAATGTATGCAGAAAACAGTTTAGATGATCTGATCTCACTTTTGGCTGTAGAGTGCTGTTTACTTTCCATGCTTATATGTATCCTTCCAGAGGACATTCTATGTTTCTTTCTACTTTCTGTAGCATGGCTTCTGGAGACTTGAAAAGTACACACGATTTCCCATCCTAGTGCTTGCCATATAGATCCCTTTGGTTGGACATCCAATTGAATATCACTCGTTTCATGTCTCCATAGTATGTTGTTGGAGAAATTACACTACTCAAACTTGATATAGCGTCATATATGAATTGGATATTTTAACATTATATTGGGCTTTGCGTCTTCATCTTTTTACAGTCTGTCCCAAGCTCGGAAAAGGAGAAGGGTGGCTTTAGGTTGTTGGACTTCCAGCGTGAAACCTTTTCCAGGCCCCTTATCAACATGAAATAATGGCAAAACAGGGAAAAATAATTCATGTAGCTATTCCTGAATAAATNCGTCTTCATCTTTTTACAGTCTGTCCCAAGCTCGGAAAAGGAGAAGGGTGGCTTTAGGTTGTTGGACTTCCAGCGAGAAACCTTTTCCAGGCCCCTTATCACATGAAATAATGGCAAAACAGGGAAAAATAATTCATGTAGCTATTCCTGAATAAATTGTGCAAGGCTTTGTTTGGTCTGATTTGAGAACAATAGAGCATTTAACTTTTTAATCATACTGAGATGCATTTTCCTGCTAATTTGTTCTTAGAGGCAAGAAAGGGAGCCAGTTTATCATGTGATGCATGACAAGAAAAAGAAGATTGGGGAAGAAAATTGAAAAAAAAGAAGGAGAAGGAGAATTAGAGAAGAATGCTCCCAAAGAAGTAACCCAAATTCAAGAAGAGAGAGAAATCCAATTACAATATGAATTCAATAATCAGATTCAAGTCTAAATAGCAAAATCTTCCATACCTATTACACATAATGCCTATTCATGTGCAACACTAAAATAACGTAGTTGACTATTACAAAAAATAATAATATCAAAATGATATTTAACCTAAATTAATAAACTAAACCCAGTAAGTTATTACTATAAAATAATACTTAGATAAATTCCTATGCCCTTATCTTCAATCCAAACTTCATCCAATCTTTTTTTGTACCCCATCACCATGTCCTATTTCTAAACTGCTATATGTCATTTTCTGTTTTTGGTGCACAACCTTGCCTAGTTCTGTCAATGAGTTGAATTGTCACTAACAAGGAGGATTGTGCTAGCAAGAGTCTGAGACTAGTAGACGATGGCGGATTTGTGCTTCATCTTGTGTATTTGGAAAGCTAGGAATAGGAATACTTTTAGAATGCTGAGTTTCCGTTCCATAGCCTATAGGAGTTATTCTTAAATGCTCTTCAATTTGGCTATTAGTAAACTTCTCTAAAACTTTATTTTTCTTCATAGAACTCATAGGCATTTAGAGCATTTTGAAGAGTGCTTTTTGAAGGGAGAATTGGACCTCCAGCACTGCTGTGAGAGTGTCCCAAGGCCTTTCACTATTGATGTGTAACAGCTAATAGTTCCTGACCCTGTTAATTGGATCTGTTCAAAGTAGAGCCTTCTGTTCTCTATTTATGATGATTGCCACTTCTCTATTATCTGAGAGTTGTGGAATATGTTAGCTGGAGAAAAACCCAAACAGTTTAGACTTAATTTACAATAGTGAAGAATATCTAGCACGCTTCTGTGGTTTTATTTACGTATGGCCGTGAGAATAAATATCATTCGCTTGCTAACTCCATAGTTATGGAAGTGTGATGTGAACCATAAAACAAAAACTGGATACCTTAATGCGTATTCTTGATGTTTACTCCTTTAGAGTCTGTGCTTAATTTCCTTAGATTCTTACGAAGCACAAGGCGTATATGTCTGGCAAAATTCTTGTGACTGAGATCCTCACACCTAAAGTCTTGAGACTAACTTAATCTGTGGATTGTATGCCTTGTTGTTTGGTACAATAATTGTATCCCACCATACTGTCTTCTGGAATCCACTGCACAATTTTCTTTCCTCCCAATTATTGCTTAAAACAGCGTTCATGTTGTATATTAAATTTCATTTAAGATTTAAAAATCATTCTAAGCTAATTCTGACTAGGAACTGTATGTACAAGCAATTTAATGTAAGCAAGAAAAAAATGAGATGCATTGAATGCAGCAGTTTTTTTTCCTCTGGTTTATTTAAAACATTGATATTACTTGGTCAGTTGGTCTGAATTCCTTTTTAAATTGACATGTGTGCCTTGCTATGGAACAAGGTGTTAAATCTTGGCCTTTTGCCTATTAAAACCATGCAGTTGGAAGTTACTTGGTTGTGATATTAGTTGTCCACAATTTAGTTTGAGCATCTTGAACATTATAGCTTTTCTCATGCTCTCTCTTTTGTCTTCTTGCTTACAGAGGCCAAGCGCAAGGGAACTTCTAAAGCATCGTTTTATCAGGAATGCCAGAAAGAGTCCAAGGCTTTTGGGGAGAATCAGGTGCATTTTGTTGGTGTCAGCTTATATTCTTTAAAGTTCAACCCGACTCAACAAGGTCTTGTCCCAACTACTTGAATCATATTTCCCATATCCCCTAGCCTTATAGCCAATAATGATTACTTCAGGAATCGTAGTCACTTTTTGTAGAGTTAACATCTTAGTCATAAATACATAGACATGATTTAGCAAAAAGGTTATAAAAATAAAGGTGACTTGGGTATGGTTAATGTTTTACGTGGTATATACATTGTGTTAAGTGGTGAGCCTACGGCAATATTGTTGGAGAGAATGCTAAGATATGTTAAAGGTACTACTTGATTTCCATGTCATGAGCAGATATATATGGAGTGGCATTATTTGGTAATTTTCCAAGTGATAGCCTCTTTTCTATTGTTATCTGGACAGAGAGCGCCCCAAGTTCCAATTAAAAGACGATGCAGAGACCCCTAGAAATGGTCAGAGAGCTTTAGGGGAGGCATCTGGCACTGTGAAAGTGACAACAGATTCAAGAGTTGAAGATTTTGTTCGAACAAGGTGGGTTTTTTCTGTTGATCTTCCTAATTACCTATGATGTGTTGATGAATGTTAGTTGACTAATTCTTATTACAGTAGTCAGGAAAAAACCCTGCAAAATGCTGAGTGGGACTTCAGTATTGGTGGAGCAACTAGTACTGGAACAGCCCTGAGTGTGGTAAGATCACCCCAGATTAAAGAAAGGAAGCCAGAGGTTCTATTAAGTCAAGCCACCTCAAGAAAAAATATAGACAGTGGTAACCTGTGGTTGTCTTCTGGAAGCACGCCTTATGATTCATCAGAAATTTCTTTGGGAAAAAATGATAGAGAGCCATACAATGTCGAAAAACAAGATTACTACCATGAAGATGTAAGACTCTCTCTGTCCATGTGTGTATGTGTATTGCTCACTTGTGTCACCACACATATCTTGGACACAACCTCCTGTTGCACTTGGGAACTGAATTCTTAAAGGCCAAATATCAGAGAGACTGTTATAAACTTCAGCTTCTCCTTCCTTGTCTAAGAAAATGTAGTTTTGAGCCTCCAGGTGGAATCTTTATTGCCCATCTAGATACTGGGAAAAAAAAAAAAAGTGCCAGGCCTGTTAGAATAAGCTGATGTACTTCTTACCTGATTCCCCACCATGGTAAAAAGAGAGAAAAAAAAATAAAGTAGCATGACGGTTGCCTTGTGCAATCAATATCTTGTGATCATGATTAGGTCAAGCTGTTTTGTAAAACTTGTCTTTGGCATTGCCTGAATTTAGTATAACCCATTGACTTGTTGCAAAAAATTACTTGATATCATGTACTCCTATGATGGAAATAAACAAAAGCTATCACATTCTTCTATTTACCCTACTGGTGGTGACTAGGTTCACAATTTCATGTTCTGAATTCTCTAGAACAGATTTTGCAATTTGACTGAGCTAAAATAATGTCTGATAGAATGCCTTAGCACGAACTTCAATGAACTTAGTTAACCACTGTTTCAAGCATCTGATTTCCCGCTAAGCTAGTCTCAAGTGCTTGAATTGCAGGAANTATAATGTCTGATAGAATGCCTTAGCACGAACTTCAATGAACTTAGTTAACCTCTGTTTCAAGCATCTGATTTCCCGCTAAGCTAGTCTCAAGTGCTTGAATTGCAGGAAGAACTCTCAATGAGCGGGACGGGCACCGTTGTTGTACGATCTCCAAGAGTTCAGCCATCCTTTTTATTCAGTGATCAAAGTACATTGGTAGGGTTACGTTCTGGTTGAGATGGATTAAAATAATAAGTAGATCTGTAGATCAACTTTGTCTCCTTGTGCTGTGCTTGGTGTTTTCTTGATAATGTTTCGACCTGCCATTCAGTCTAGTAGCACATATGCTTCTTTTGAGGATGCTTCCTCCAGTGGTACTGTTGTTTACCGTGGACAACATGATGACTCAGATTCTCCTCGAACGCCAAAGTCCAGACTGGGCATCCAAGAGAGAACTTCAAGTGCATCACTTGAAGACAGTGCAATAACCTTTGCTGAGGTTGTTTATATTTCATAAACTTTTTCATAACTGTTCCGAATATGAAATAGCCGACTAGGCCTGTGGCAAAAATCTTGGGATTTTCTTTTCTGCATGCATAAAGACCACTGTATGTATTAAGAATGCATTACTTACTGTTTCAATAAAGACTTAAATTATTCAGAGCGGAAAAGAAGTCCTTTATATGTCATGTGTCACCTTACTGCTGGTTTGTGTTAAAAGGCTTATTTGCTGTTACAATATCTAGGCAAAGGCTGCCATTCAAGGAGGATTAAGGAAAGGAAATGTCAGAGAAAGGTCTGTACTGGGCAAGGTCAATAATGATACGCAAGAACATCAAAAATCAGAGCAATCAACAAATAGTTCTGATTCTTCAAGGTACATGTTACGTTTGCCTTGCTGATAAATTTTGGGGCCCTTCTGTCTTCATCAAACTTGCTTCTAGGTTTTTACTCCAGAAATGATAGTCAAGGTGATCTTACCAGTTTCAACTGGAAATTCCTCCATTCTTACCCAAAAAATGAACTAAATTTTCCAGGCCCTCTCGTGATTACTTTGTTGAGCAAAAAGAATTTCCAAGATCACGCCAAGCAAGAGATGAAGAAGACAGTGCCAGAATTTCCGCAGCATCATCATCTGGCCCATTATCCATTCTGCTCATTCCTTCATTAAAAGAGGTGAGCAATTAGCATTTACAATTCCTATGTTGAGGTAACCTTGCATGACTGAGAGTGTACATAAAGCTGATCATCTGTAACTACACATTTAAAGTTTGGTTCAAATACAGACATCCAATTTGATTGAGAATCTTATGACTCTAAAATCAGAGTGATAAAAGATTCACAATAAAAAAAAAAATTTTACTAATCCTGATAATGACTTGTCCAAATGCTCTCATTTGGGTTTTATCTCAAAAAATTAAATCAACGAGTGCCAAAGAATGAGATCACACATTACCCCTGAGTAGGTATTGATACGTGAAAGTAGAATGGGTTCTGATGATGCAAAAATCAGTGTTGCACAAGATCAACAGTCGAGTATATCAAGAGATACAATTATGCAAAGCCGATTTGTGCATCATCAGGTTCTATGGGAAGAAGGAATGATATCTGAAAGATTCACTCCAATTCTGAAATTTTAGGAGTCTTAGATGATTATGATGGACACTTTCATTTTGTTGGATTAGGCTCTTAAGTTGTTTGACTAAATACCACTTTCCAAATCAGTTGGATGGAAGTCTTCTTTTTTAAGTTGATGTTAATGGTAGTCTCCTACTTGGGCATTGTGGTAAATTTCAAATGATATGACTTTGGTTCAGATGCATTATCTTAGTTTTCTTGATTTGTTGATGTATTTAATGTAGGCCATCACTGATGATTCAGAAGGGTCAATTGTGCATGCAGTGGCAAATTCATTTATGGATTTGGAGTGCATGAAGCCTGGGGTTGGTGAAATTATTGTCACCAGGTTGCTTCAGCGACTAGCAAGGTTGATGATCATTTCCTATTCTTATTTTCATTTTATGACATACTACTTGAAGATGGTCTTTTATGTTTTCATGCTACATGTTTCTCAAGTGGAGGAAAAATGTGCAGTTCAAAGGAGTCTTCACTGAAAGATCTGCAGGAGATGGCAGCTCGCATCTTCACAAAAGGCAAGACAGCTTCAGAGCATCAAACAGAGAATATAAATGCAGAAGTTGATAGCAATCTAAAGCAACAAAATAAAGAGCTTCACTCAAATGCCAATTTGGGCCCACTTGCAAGGTTTTTACTTTCAAGGTTTGTCGAAATGATCGTTCTCTTTGTCTGGCTAACATAGAACTTTTGTTGAACTGGATTTAACATAGATATGAAAGGAGATTACTTTGCCTATGAGTAGCCATGGGTTCATGAACGCATTAGTTCGAGAGGCCATGGCTGGCAAATGGAATATCATTCAACTATAATTGGTCCAACCTAAGATACACCAATGTAATAATTGCTTAAGATGCAGAAAAATAATTTTACAGTACTACTCCAACCCCCTCCCCACTACCCCCTTCAAAAATTAAAAAAAAACCAAGAAAACGATGTCAATAAACATCTTATAAAAGAAATGCGATCACATAATATAGTTTGATTCGTACGTCCATTGGCATTGAAGAGTTGTATGACTAGGGCCTGCAGTGGATTCGAAACAGTATCATATGGGTTTATCTTTGCCATGTTTAGGCTCAGTTCCAAATCCCTACGTTATTTGACAGTGTTAGAGATGCATATGCCTGAAGTACCTCTTTTTCAATGCAGATGGCAAGGCCTAGTTTCTCGAGATCTAAACCCAGCGTAAATAGAGGTCTGATCGTGTCTACTTTTATGATTTTTATTGTGTTTTCTGTTTATCCATTGATTTTGATTAAATGCGCATTTCGTTTCAAGAAAACTTGTCGACTTTACATTTTCTGTGTTGATGTAGAACTAGTTGCTAGTATTGCTTTGTCAGTGTCATTAAATAACTATATGTATTAATGAATTAATTATCGTTGTGCTTGGAACTTTTGGAGTGTCTCATGTTGGTAACATCTTGAGAAAGTATGCCAATCCTTCTTTCCTCTTTCCCTATCATCTCTTGCCCCAACTTCTCTTTGGTGCTCCAAAACTTGTCCAGTAGTTGGCAGCACGACAAAGGTGGATCTTTGGATTTTGTCGTGTCGTGTCGTGTCCAAGTTAGCCTTTCGATATTTTGATATTTCCAGACTTTGAAACTACGAATGGTGAACAAATTTTTCGAGTCTGGGCCTTGCGCAATCCTTTTAAAGAATGATGTAAAAATTTATGGAAATGCAGCCTATAGCCCTAAATTCTTATGGATTAGAAGCCAGAACACAGCAGAGAGGCAAGCATCCTATTGTTGCCTTAGCCAATAAACATATGTTAAGGGAACCAATATCTAAACAATCTTGAGCTTTGAACCCTTATTGAAGATCAAGATTTCCTGTCTGTGATGACAAGCTAAATGTGTAATCTGAGCTTATGCTGGTAGAATGGCAAATCATAGCCAGAAATTGACTAACCTGATGGTGATCCAGATTCAGCCATAACCTGCAGTATTTTATTCTGCTGGCCTATACATTCATACCATTCCACTGAACAAAACCAAAAATTTATGTCTCCCAAACTCGAAAAAGAGTATCATCCAAGCTTGAAAATTTTTAGTTTTTTTCCTGGAAGAAATTATTTGCTGAAAGATGATTAGCCACTGCCAAAAATTCACCCAACTGAACCCTACCAGGCTTGCAAGTTTTGAGAAGCATAACAAAAAGCAAAACTAGTCGCTACATCTCTCATTTCACATAAGCACGTGAAATTGGAAAACAACAACAATTCGAAGCACACTTATAACTAATTGGAATTCTTCTGTTCATATCTTCAAGATCAGCAACATGGTATACTATACAGCAAACTGTTTAGCCCAAGCTACGACACCTAGAAACGGCCTTCCACCGAAAATCACCATATCTTTCTGTTGATCCTTCTATTTTGACCTCCCTCCTTCAGTAGCTCGCTTGGTGGGAGTCAGCTTCCGGAAAGAGGCATGCAAAATCAAAACTGCAAATGTATTCCAAATTGAGAACAAACCCGTAAGAATTTTGCTTATGTTAAAAAAAAAAAAAAAAAAAAAAANCCTTTTAAAGAATGATGTAAAAATTTATGGAAATGCAGCCTATAGCCCTAAATTCTTATGGATTAGAAGCCAGAACACAGCAGAGAGGCAAGCATCCTATTGTTGCCTTAGCCAATAAACATATGTTAAGGGAACCAATATCTAAACAATCTTGAGCTTTGAACCCTTATTGAAGATCAAGATTTCCTGTCTGTGATGACAAGCTAAATGTTTAATCTGAGCTTNCGATTCTTACGTCCATTGGCATTGAAGAGTTGTATGACTAGGGCCTGCAGTGGATTCGAAACAGTATCATATGGGTTTATCTTTGCCATGTTTAGGCTCAGTTCCAAATCCCTACGTTATTTGACAGTGTTAGAGATGCATATGCCTGAAGTACCTCTTTTTCAATGCAGATGGCAAGGCCTAGTTTCTCGAGATCTAAACCCAGCGTAAATAGAGGTCTGATCGTGTCTACTTTTATGATTTTTATTGTGTTTTCTGTTTATCCATTGATTTTGATTAAATGCGCATTTCGTTTCAAGAAAACTTGTCGACTTTACATTTTCTGTGTTGATGTAGAACTAGTTGCTAGTATTGCTTTGTCAGTGTCATTAAATAACTATATGTATTAATGAATTAATTATCGTTGTGCTTGGAACTTTTGGAGTGTCTCATGTTGGTAACATCTTGAGAAAGTATGCCAATCCTTCTTTCCTCTTTCCCTATCATCTCTTGCCCCAACTTCTCTTTGGTGCTCCAAAACTTGTCCAGTAGTTGGCAGCACGACAAAGGTGGATCTTTGGATTTTGTCGTGTCGTGTCGTGTCCAAGTTAGCCTTTCGATATTTTGATATTTCCAGACTTTGAAACTACGAATGGTGAACAAATTTTTCGAGTCTGGGCCTTGCGCAATCCTTTTAAAGAATGATGTAAAAATTTATGGAAATGCAGCCTATAGCCCTAAATTCTTATGGATTAGAAGCCAGAACACAGCAGAGAGGCAAGCATCCTATTGTTGCCTTAGCCAATAAACATATGTTAAGGGAACCAATATCTAAACAATCTTGAGCTTTGAACCCTTATTGAAGATCAAGATTTCCTGTCTGTGATGACAAGCTAAATGTGTAATCTGAGCTTATGCTGGTAGAATGGCAAATCATAGCCAGAAATTGACTAACCTGATGGTGATCCAGATTCAGCCATAACCTGCAGTATTTTATTCTGCTGGCCTATACATTCATACCATTCCACTGAACAAAACCAAAAATTTATGTCTCCCAAACTCGAAAAAGAGTATCATCCAAGCTTGAAAATTTTTAGTTTTTTTCCTGGAAGAAATTATTTGCTGAAAGATGATTAGCCACTGCCAAAAATTCACCCAACTGAACCCTACCAGGCTTGCAAGTTTTGAGAAGCATAACAAAAAGCAAAACTAGTCGCTACATCTCTCATTTCACATAAGCACGTGAAATTGGAAAACAACAACAATTCGAAGCACACTTATAACTAATTGGAATTCTTCTGTTCATATCTTCAAGATCAGCAACATGGTATACTATACAGCAAACTGTTTAGCCCAAGCTACGACACCTAGAAACGGCCTTCCACCGAAAATCACCATATCTTTCTGTTGATCCTTCTATTTTGACCTCCCTCCTTCAGTAGCTCGCTTGGTGGGAGTCAGCTTCCGGAAAGAGGCATGCAAAATCAAAACTGCAAATGTATTCCAAATTGAGAACAAACCCGTAAGAATTTTGCTTATGTTAAAAAAAAAAAAAAAAAAAAAACCCCAAGTCACCTGCATAACTAACCCCAAGAGCGCATGAGAGAGTCATTTGAACATTGGAGAAGAATAAGATAACGGCAGTTGCTGCAAGTACAAAACACAGTAATTACCACTCGTTGAATTCACATTTGTCCGACCTGGTCAGGGAATGAGATTCATGAAGGCAATAAAAAAGTTAAGACAAACATAGTTGTCTGTGTCGGTATAATAACAACTGTTTTTAACTCATGAATTTCTGTAGAAGTAACTCACAGTTAGTGTGGCACTCTCTCTAAAAAGATGATTGATACACCAGGGACCACCATCCGCATTAAAAATCCAACTAAGGGAATTAGCGGAACCACCTTCAACTATACCCANGTAATCTGAGCTTATGCTGGTAGAATGGCAAATCATAGCCAGAAATTGACTAACCTGATGGTGATCCAGATTCAGCCATAACCTGCAGTATTTTATTCTGCTGGCCTATACATTCATACCATTCCACTGAACAAAACCAAAAATTTATGTCTCCCAANCTATGGAAATGCAGCCTATATCCCTAAATTCTTATGGATTAGAAGTCAGAACACAGCAGAGAGGCAAGCATCCTATTGTCGCCTTAGCCAATAAACATATGTTAAGGGAACCAATATCTAAACAATCTTGAGCTTTGNCTACCCTAACTTAAGGATTTGCAATCTGTCATTCTGTCTCAACCATGGTAATCATGAATTATAAGACCTCCCAATAAAAAGATTCCCTTGAACATGAAGAAGATCAATGGAAGTAAAGGAACCTCCAACCAAGAAATAGTANTAACCCTAACTTAAGGATTTGCAATCTGTCATTCTGTCTCAACCATGGTAATCATGAATTATAAGACCTCCCAATAAAATGATTCCCTTGAACATGAAGAAGATCAATGGAAGTAAAGGAACCTCCAACCAAGAAATNTTAATCTGAGCTTATGCTGGTAGAATGGCAAATCATAGCCAGAAATTGACTAACCTGATGGTGATCCAGATTCAGCCATCACCTGCAGTATTTTATTCTACTGGCCTATACATTCATACCATTCCACTGAACAAAACCAAAAATTTATGTCTCCCAANATAGTAAAATTTGTCATGGTAGTGAAACTGAATTTGCATTGAAAAATGAATTTCTCCAAACAATCTGTCAGTGGGATTTCTCTCTCATTCAGTCTACCAAGAATGACAACGGAACCACTCAAAGCAAGTATATTCTAATCCTTCTCTCTCATTCGGTCTACCAATAATGACAACGGAACCACTCAAAGCAAGTATATTCTGATCCTTCTCTCTCAAACACAAGGCTATGTAAAGTACCTTTGAAAAGCATCCTTTATCTATGTCAATCTTCAATATGATCAAGAGGAAATTTCATCATTTCTTTAAAGGAATATGATATTTCATCATACGAAAATGGGAGGAGATGTTTTCCAACATCATTCAAGTGGCCCTTCACAGACCAAACTCAGATCAATTTCCACCTCTTGTTCACCCACATGTGGATCCTTGTTCTCTTGACTTGAGAGCATGTCACTAGTCCATAGTTCATTCAGCCATATATTACTGTTGAATAGGAACGACATATTTATGGTAAACATACATTGGGACATCATATTTTCTTGATAAACTGACATTGGACCAATGGACCAGGGGACAGTTTGCCCACCTGGGTAAACCAGAGACGAAAAGGACTTTAATAGGTGTGGCAGGGTATTGCTTAGGCTCTCTTTGAAGGGTAATAAAAAGAAAGTCATTGCTTGAGTAAATCATATTTGAGATTCAAATATCAAAAGAAATGGCAACCCCATTTAAATTCCTNAGGCTCTCTTTGAAGGGTAATAAAAAGCAAGTCATTGCTTGAGTAAATCATATTTGAGATTCAAATATCAAAAGAAATGGCAACCCCATTTAAATTCCTTACTCTAGTCTAAGAGACTAACTAGCAGCATCTAAATAAAAGCTTTTGCACTAACCCCATGAGTACGGATCAAAAATCAATCCACTTCACCATTAGGATCACAATTTGTAACAATGTAAGAGCAATTGCATTTCCAACCAGCATAAATATTGGCAAGACTAATATAGAGATTGCTGTCTTTTAGTGTATATCTGAGTGCTCCAAGGGAGTTTCTCTCTTTCTATGACACCAAAATACCTATGAATGTTATCAAAGCAAGGAAAATGACGTAACTAAAGATGAACAAACTCACCACATTGAGCAACTCGAACCAAGCTTAGTCGAAATAGAGGGTATCGATCTAATCCCCATCGATCACCCCAAAATCTGAACAGATCCCAAAGCGCCAAACATGATATCAGCCCAACAAGAGCAAGAGGCATTTGATACCTAAAACCACCATTAACAAACCAAATAAATATAAAGCAAATAATCCATAGTACTCTCTCTTTCAGAATCACAAAATTCAAAAATTTTAGCTCAGAAAGCAGTAAACCAGAACTAAAATAAAAGCAATTCCATGAATTTAACCTAAATTACCTCTAAATTTCAATGCTAAATTTTGACAAAGAACTATGTTTGTGTGTGTTATGTGTTTACAGACAAAGAGAGAGTATGTACAGAGAGCAAGCGAAGAAGAGGATGAAGAGAGAGGCATAATTGCGAGCAAAGCGCTTGACATTTTCGTGGACTCTCAACCGAGCTTGAGAGGTCGACGAAGGGAACGAGTAGGAATCAGAAGAACCGATAAATCGAAAAGTCCAGGAGGGAGTATCGCCGGAGAAGTCGTCGGAGGTGAGCTTGGAGAAGGGATTGAAAGTGAAGAGAGAGAGTAGGGTTCCGATGTATGAAAAAACCGATATAAAGAATCCACCAGTGATTATGGAAGCGGAGCTAGTGGTGGTGGCGGAGGAGGAGGAGGAGGAGGAAGTGGTTGTGGTGGAGAGGCGGTGGAGGTCAGAGGTTCGTTGGTCGAGGATTTCCAGGTAGCCACGGTCTCTTAGCCACGACTCGAATGCGGGCTCGGGGACGCTCAGAGATAAGGGGTTGGCCGAGAAAGACATTTCTTCTCCGCCTCCAAATTTCTCTTACTGCCCCGACATTTATCTTATGGGAATTAAAATTATTTTTTAAGAAATTTAAATAGCAGTGGTTAGTTAAAAAAAAAAGGAAGAAATATTTCTCAAGGTCTATCTTACCTTAATTTGATTGTTAGAGTAATATCAAAAATTCATTGTTTTTGATTTTTTTTATTTTTACTAATTGACACACACGTGTATCGCACGTAAATCAATTTATTGTACTGACCAAACAATTATAATAACAAAAATATTAATAATTCCCAACATGAGATGAATCCAAGCAGAAAATTGGCTCCATTGATAATTATACATTATGTAACATACAATTCTTCTCAATATAAACTCAAGTAGATGAAAATGTTAAAAAGAAAAATAAATTAATTAATGGAAACAACTCATTTCTTCCTTATAATAATTATTATATAAATATAAATATTAAGAACAATTTATGTCTGAGAAATCCCTTAAAAGAAGTGCATGGTCATTTTTAACATCATACTATTGTACAAGTCATATATAATTTTTTCCTAAAGAAGTTTAACAAATTTATATCTATACTACTAATAAAAGTATTTTAAGGTGAAAAATTTTTGAATCTCTATTTTACCCATATAAATGATTACAAAAACCACTCTATCATTCCACAATTAAATATCTAAATTAATATCATATATTTATATATTTAAATCTCAAAATTATCTATAATATCTTTTTTAATTATCTATTCTCTATGTATAAATATAAGTTTCTATAAAATTTTTTGATTAACTATATTACCCTTAAAAAATATTCATCATTATATTTTCAATAAAGTGTTCAAAAAACCTTCAAAAACTCCATTAATATAATATTAATTATCTTATATGCAAAGATAATATTATGCTCACATATGTGTATTTTCTTTATAAGATAAAAAATAATTGTATATGTACTTTTTTTAAATCAATTTATGTTACATCATTATAATTCTTCAGTTTTGTAAAAAATAGATATTATAGTATATTTTTATATAAAACTTGAATTTTTTAGAATTTTAATATCCTTGATAATATATATTATAGAGTAGTATATTAAATATTATCCCAATTGACCTAACTAATTTCTAATTGCAGTAAGGTTCCAATGTGATTAGTATACTGATAATTACTTTTTTTTATTTAAGGAATTATATATGGAATCCTAATTAAATGAATTTCAAGAAATTTAATTTCTCAAACATTATTAAAAATCAATCTCAATCACAAAAATTCTAAAAAATATATAACTTTAACTATTTTCTTTACCTTTTTTTTAATAGTTAAAACAAAGTATTTTTGGGAACATACAAAATTTTCATAATCTTATAATAGAATATGAATAATAAAAAATTAAGTTTGATAAATTTGAAATAATATTTAATTCAGATACATATATATGTAATATGTTTTATTAATTTTTTGTACAAAAAATATTCACGTGGTGGTACATTGCTAGATTTAAAATAGGTGCACAGCCTTGCATAAACCCTTTAGATAGATACATGATGCAAATGTTATAAGAAATCAAAGAAAGTGACCGAAAACAAATATAAAATTAAATTAGAATTCTTTCCACTTATTGTATAATGAAAAGTGGGAGTTATAGCTAATTGTTCGGTTAAATCACATTGCAAGTATTTCAGCGAGTATCAATATGACAATGATTTCCTTCTGTATATAATGTTCCTGTTCAAGGTCAATTAATATTCCAGAGAATGGCATAGGTTTTAAAAGTTTCGACCAAAAAAGTAAAGAACAAAATAAAAAATCTTGCTGGTTGTTGATAACTGTTATATGAAATGCCAATTACATTTGTATAGAGAAAATCAATCTTATTCTAGGAATTTTCGCACTTTGTACATGCCACCCACGTGTGTTGCTATGGGAAAAAAGTGTAAACTCAACATTGATATCCTTAGATAACATGTGCATCAATTTTTAACGGAATTTGAAACGGATACTAATCTGAGGGCCACATTGAAACCAATTTATAACATTCAAAGGGTAATGGAGGAAAATAATCTTTCAAGGTGCAAAGTGAGAATTGAGACATCTTTCGGGGTACAAAGTGCAAAAATATTTTATTGCAATAAATACCTAATGGAGGTAACTTTGTTGATGGGGCCATTGCAAAGTGCCACCCATATATTACTTTGACATTTTCCCACTGCATTATTTAGTGCATATTTGAAAGCAACATGTAGTACCTGAATTGGAAAATACATGGTAATGATAGCCATAGTTAGTCAGTAATAATCATATTGAGCAAACCTAAAATAAAAGTTTTTATTAGTCCCAATTTTAGGAAAAATTGAGAAACATGATAATGTGAGAAGAAAACCAACACTCATAAGTAGCTGGTGATTTACTTAAGAGTGACACCCTCAAGGTAACTATCAACAGAAGAATTAAAGGCCACATTACTTATCTTGGCTAATTCGAACATGTTAGATAATAGTGTCTTAATGCCACTTCCATCAAAGGTGTTGTCGTTATGGACGAAAATCATAGGCTGTTCTTTGTGATGTTGAGCCACATTCTCTGCAGCTTTCTTAAGCTCAACCCAAAACAGCTCGTGAGTAATAGTTGCCCATATACACCACCACATGATTGATTAGCGAGTTCCACAATGTAACTCAAAACCTGCAAAAGGAAAGCCAAAGCAAGTAACTACCTGTGGTAACGTAAGGTATGGCATAGTAATCAACTCCACCAAAAAAAAAAACCGTCATATATTAGCTAGACAGAGATTCATAATAGGGAAAAATGTGACTACATGTATAAATTTAGCTATCCTCTTTTTTAGTGAATAAATTATTATGGTCACTGGAAGAATGATCTTTTCCCTATGTACCAGTTTCCTAACATATATGTGATAAATGTTGCCACTTTTTCCAATTACATGACCACTCTTGGAAGTAAAGCAAAGTACACATGGAAAAACAGTGCTTCCTAGTGACAATTTCAATTATAGATTCGAGCTGAACGCTCCTAATTTCTACACTTGCCTTTACCATTTCATGCAGCAGAGGTTCGATCATAGGATCTCTTGGAAGGTGTCAATGGAACTGCCATATTAATAGAAATTATGCCAAACCTGTACAAACTGATATTAGCAGAAAAATATCCACAAATAGGGAGCATTATGACAACAAATTCAAAAACATATGCCTAATTCACAAAAGAAGTATATCTATTGAACTAACCATTCACAAGTAAATCACATATTAACGATATTGGTAAACAAACATGATAGGCAGGCTTTCTTTTCTTATAAGACCAATTACGATGGTATCAAAAAAATCGATCAACATCTGCAATCATACCCACGTGAGATTTGAATTGATACTAATAAGATACCAATAGATAAATTTTTGATACTTTCTAGAAGTGTCCATAAGATGTAGTAAACTTTTCGAGAAGTTGTTATTTCAAGAGGTATTTCTTGCCCAGATAACAAGGTGCAGATCTCAAATCCATTCAAATAACTGTTTCTAAGTGTTTCATATCCCTGTTTGATTTGAAGCTTAGGTCCCATGACATCCCCACCAAGCAAGTTAAAGTCTTTAAATTATCAGAAATCCTCTAAATTCAATAGCATAATATTTTTGAAATCAAAAAGCAAGTCATCATTTTTTACATAAAAAATAGGAAAATGAAAGTTATTTGTAAGTTTTAACTTAATCGTCGAGAAATAAAGAAATAAAGAGAAAACATTTGAGATAAAATAAACTAGAAGATATGAAATTTCACATTCGTATCATTATCCTTGGAGAATCTATGCTACTAACAAACACCAAATTCTCCGGCTAATCCAATGTCTGCTTGATTTAGTATGTTTTTACAGGCATCTATAAGCAAAATCTAAGGTCTCAAATATTAGTGGAGAATCTTACGAGAATCACATTAGGTGAGGCCAGGTGAAATATGATGCAAAAACTCTACCAAATAAACAAAATGAGCATCTAAATAATGGAAGAAATCTTAGCCTTACAGAAAAGCACCATTGCATTCCTTCATATATCTACTCAACGTAGCCTTAAAAACTACGGTAACAATAGAGGTCACTTTAATGTTCGCCCGAAATTAATGCTCGCATGTTTTAGACTTCGCAATGGAAATGCTTCCATTGTGTTTGGGTATGTGACTGTCTGAATTTGATCTAAAAATATTTGTAATTCACTGTATAACTTTCAAAAAGTTTTCATCTTTTGTTGAAGAGAAATTAGGTTTGGGACTTACAGTGCAAGAAGAGTTTCACATATTTTTTAGTTTCATATCCTCAAATATCCACTACAAATATCATATGTATAGAATTTCAGATTTTGTCTTTTATTTGGCACATGTCAAATGTCAAACCCAAATGGCAGAACAAACTTGCGACCAATTCTCCCACTTTAAAGGCTGACAATCACATTAATCTACATTCAAAAGGTTTAACATAATTAGAATTATTCAATATGTGAATGGCAATTCGAAACTTCAGGTATAGAATCACCAAACTAAGAATTTTAGGATCAAAGTGATACTATGGTTCTCCTCCTTTCTGTGAAGTTTATAGTAAACAAATTTATATAACTACAAATTGTGCATATGATCAATGGGCGAAAAACTAAATTTCTAATCAAGTAATGGATGGCATAAATAAACTTCAAAAACCTCAATAGAAAAAACCACTCCTGATATGGCTCCAACTGCAACCCCTCTAACAAACCCATTTTTTAGTCTATTGGCCTATTAAAGCTTCAGTCAGGCACAAAAGATCAAATGCTCATTAATTTAGCTACAAGTATAAACAAAAAGTTCATTGACATGCAACTACTCAGTATACCTGAACTTGTAGTCAAACGTGGTGTTCTACATATATATGTCCTCATGAGTACTCAAAGGGTTCTGCAAACAAAATATTTAGGTTATATTGTTGTTAGATTGTTCAAAAAGACATCATGATATTACTTAGAGCATAACCTGATATCATTTGTGTAACATTCAACAATAAGACGATAAAATATAGTCGCAAAATTCTCGCAAAACTGAAGAAGTAAGTGGAATGCTATTTATTAGGAGCAGAGAAAACAAATATCCCATGCACTCTCAAGGAATTAAGAAATTAAAGGGAAAAAGTACTACCTGTAACGACTGGAGATTTTTATCCTGCCGAGTTCCCAACCTCTCTTTCAACATTGAGTGAACCTGAAAAGGCTTCCAACGACTACAAAACTATATTAAGGCTTTCGACATTGAGGGAAAAAGTCGGATACTTTTTCTAATATGGTCGCAATCAGATTCAAAATTTTAATTGGTAATGTCACAAACATTAATGATCTAGAAAAGCTCATAAAATACCTTTGACATCTAAATTTGTACTCTAGTACTACTCATAGACATAGTGAAAAAAGAAAAGGAAAGGGGAAAACGAGTATTTCCACGGCATGGTGAAGACTAATATTAAGGACACTATTATTATTCCCTGGAAAATTGTTCCACACTACCTTAGCACCACATACTAATGATGAAAGCNTATATACTCCAACAGAAAGCATTCATGCCCCCACATGGTGGGACCACATGAACAAAGAAAGTGATTTGCGGCATAAATAAACCATTAAAAAAAAAGAAAACTACTACTTATAAGCCAGAAATTTAATCAGCATTCATTGAATAGGGTATTGCAGTGGGTAAAATGCATAGCATTAGAAAATGCAGGTGCTCAAACAAAGCACATGCAATTTGAGATTGTTAGTGGTACTGACCCGGAAAACAAACACAAAATGGATATGTTATATCAGGTTATGCTCAAATAATTAGTAAAGAGAAATGAAGTGCCTGTTGAAGAAGAAATGGAGTACCTGTTGAAGAAGAAAAGGAGCACTGCTGGTTCGGCAATGGCAACAATGACGGTGTATCCGTGTGTGAAGAAAAATATAGCACCAGGTGAAGAACAACAATGCTGTCTGGCAAATATTTAGATCCCAATCGCGACTGATGTAGCAATTGTGGTAACATGTAGAATAATGAACCAGCAAGCGGTACCCGAAGGTTAGAGAACTTTAGCAGACAAAGTGAGGGAGACAAAGGGTGGTAGTGTGCATTAACTTCAGCCAGGAAAAAAAGATAGATGAAAGGGCGCCTATGTGGGAGATTGAGTCAAGGCCATTTAATGAATAAAATTTACACGTTAGGTATTTAGGAGGCATTCTATGAAAGAATAAAATTATTAAGTTTAATATGCAATTAATTTTTTGAAGGATAAAGTTGTCATACTTGCTTTGTTAAAGGATAAAGGTGGAAAAAAAATGTTTTTCAACTATGTTGATATTTTAAAGAAGTATAGATAAATTACTCTTTCACTTGTTGAATTGAAGTCAATCTTGAAATTTTCACTCTTCTATTGTATTACAATTTACCGACATTATACCAAGATTGAGAGGTGAGTTTGCAAACCCATTATTATACCATAAAACCTGTTATGACTTCAAAGATTATTTATAATAACCACATTGGCTTATGGACTTCAGTGGGCAGTTTTCACCAAGTAGTGAGGCTAAAAATTATTTGAAAATTCAAGCACAATCTTTAACCTTCCTCCCCCTCCAGTAGACAAGAATTTTTCCCATTTGCTCCATTCACATCAATTATAGTTCAGCAAATTAGCAATTGAACTGCTCTTTATATTGCAATTGCAACTAACCTTCCTTTTCATCTCACCAATTAGAGGAAGCCATTTTTCCTAACCTCAAGCCATTAACAGTGTATAATGCATGTATTGGTCACCAACTAGTAAATGAGTAAAAAGGCTATGTATTGAAGGCAGATTCAGTCTGCATGTACAAAACAGTGGACACCTCTAGCTGGACGCCCGGGATATGTTTGGTTCAAGCTGGCCTGTGTTTGGTGACATTCAATAACACTGATGGCCCGAATTTTATTAAACTGGTGAAGACAGATCAATATCCAAAGCAGAATTAATCACCTGGTCATGGGAAATTGCAGAGAAATCTAGACTTTCACAATCTAAAGTTAATTTTTGAAGGACAAAGACATATTATAGACAACAAAAACATGGTACTCATGAAACAAACAATTATAATTTAAATTTAAATAGTGTTTAGTTGGCTAACAAACCAAGCACTAAGATATTCTTCAGCTTAGGAGTTGTTGCTTCTGGTAGGAGAAACTGATACATACAGTTCACCAGTAATCACCACAAGAACATGAGCCATCCACAAAGTGGTGGAACCGGTTCCGATCCCTCACAACAATCCTACGTCCTGTGATTTTTGAGATGAGTTTGGTTACGACATGACAATCTGAGCACACCCGAAGGTTCTTGAAAATCTTGATTGTAGTTCCTGGTCGAGTACTAATAAGCCCAAAAGCAATAGCAAACTTTTCACTGTGAACTTCAAGTGACTGCTCCTTTTCAATCTCTCCAATATCATGTAATACTATATCTGTCTCTGGTGTGTAACCATGAGCCTTGAGCCACCCATTTATCTCCTCCAGCATCATATAAATTTCTTTGCTCTTTGGGTGTCTCAAATTACCAGCAAGGAACTCATGCACCTTATTATTCACTTCAATTGAGCTACAACCCGGCTCCTTTTGCACACCACTATCTTTCATCAGGGTTCTCATCCTTGCCACCCCATCCCAATGGCCTGTGGCAGCGTATATGTTAGAAAGAAGAATGTAAGTTCCTGAATTGGCTAGATTATGGTCCACAAGGAACCTTACAACTTCCTCTGCCAAACCAATATTTCCATAAAGCCTACAGGCACCAAGTAATGTTCCCCACAAAACAGGATCAGGGGCAATCTTCATGTCCTTGACAAGTTGGTATGCCTCTTTCAAATGCCCAGCTCGGCCTAGAAGATTCACCATACATCCGTAATGCTCAATCTTTGGTTCAATACCAAATTCATCTTTCATTGAACAGAAAAAGGCCCAACCCTCAGACACCAACCCTGCATGCGCACAAGCATTTAAAATACCAATAAAGGTTATATCAGTGGGGTGGAGCAACATCCCACCCATGTCACTGAACAATTGCAAAGCTTCTTGGCTAAATCCATTCATTGCATACCCCACAATCATCGAATTCCAAGCAACAATATCCTTATTCTTAATCTTATCAAAAACCAAGCGTGCATCCTCCAAACTACCGCATTTGCTATACATATCAACCAATGCAGTACCCACATGAACATTGACCTCAATCCCATTATTCTTTAAGTATGAATGAACCCACCTGCCTGACTCCAGTGCTCCAAGTTGCCCACAAGCAGAGAGAACTGCTAGTAGAGTTATTTCATTAGGCTTCAGGTTAGCCTTCAACATTTTCCTGAAAAGAACAAAAGCATCATTTGGCCTTCCATGCTGAGTATACCCATCTATCATGACATTCCAACTCACAACATCCCTGTCCTCCATTGCATCAAATAAAACCCGTGCCTCATCGACATCCCCATGTTTCGCATAACCCGTGATCATTGCTGTCAAAGAAACCAAACTCTTTTCAGGCATAGTATCAAACAATTTACGTGCAGAGGCAACATCACCACCTCTAGCATAGACATCAACAAGAGCTGTTCTCACATACGTATCAGAATCAAATCTGAGTTTGAGGACTTGGCAATGGAGAATTTTTCCAGATTCAAGTGGGCAGGCTTTGAGGATGGACGAGAATGTGAATGCATTGGGTTCGACATCGTGGGTCAACATTTGGACATAGAACTCAAAAGCTTGTTCGTGGAGATTGTTGACGGCATGCCCGTGGATAATGGAGGTGTAGAAGAAGACATTGGGGTTGTGGGTGAGGTTAAAAAGGGCCACGGAGTAGTCAAGGCGGCCAAGGGTAGAATAGGATCGCTGGAGCTTGAAGTTCAAGACCAGGTGGGTTTCCAGGCCATGGCGGATGAGAGATGCGTGGATTTGAAGGATTTGTCTGATAGTTTTGGATTTGTCTATCAATAATGCAAGCCTGTCAGGGGGTAGAGAATAGTTACATTGGGTGGGGGTGGTGCTGGTGGTGACTAGTGGTGGGGTTGTGAAAATGGTAGTTGAGGGCATGGTCTAATTAGCTGCTTTTCAAATTTCTCGCGCCAAAACACAATTCGTACACTCTGTAGCTTAACTGATGTTTGTGGTGAGGGTACTTTGTAAAAAAATTACAAGTACGAAAAAATCCAAGTCAGCTGCATAACTAACCCCAAGAGCGCATAAGAGAGCCATTTGAACATTGGAGAAGAATAAAATAACTGTAGATGCTGCAAGGGCAAAACACAGTTATCACCACTCATTGAATTCACATTTGTCTGAGCTGATCAGGGAATGAGATTTACGAAACCAATAAAAAGTTAAGATAAACATAGTTGTCTGTGTTAGTATTATAACAACTATTTTCAACTCATGAATTTCTGTAAAAGAAACTCAGAGTTAGTGTGGCAGTCTCTAAAAAGATGATTGATACACCAGGGACCACCATACGCATTACAAATCCAACTAAGGGAATTAGCGGAATCACCTTCAACTATACCCTAACTCCCTTGCACATGAACAAGATCAACGGAAGTAGAGGAACCTCCAAACACAAAATCGTAAAATTTGTCGTGGTAGTGAAACTGAATTTGCATGTAAAAATGAATTTCTCCAAACAACCTAAAAAATCTATCAGTGGGGTTTCTCTCTCATTCAGACTACCAATACAAAACCACTGAAAGCAAGAATATTCTGATCCTTCTCACTCAAACACAAGGGTATGGAAAGTACCTTTGAAAAGCATCCTTCATCTAAGTCAAAATCGTCAATCTGATCAAGAGGATATTTCATCATTTCTTTAAAGGAATAAGATATTTCATCATACGATAATGGGACATCATATTTTCTTGATAAACTTACATTGGACCAATGGACCAATGGACCAGGGGACTGTTTGCCCACCTGGGTAAACCAGGGACGAAAAGGANACGATAATGGGACATCATATTTTCTTGATAAACTTACATTGGACCAATGGACCAGGGGACTGTTTGCCCACCTGGGTAAACCAGGGACGAAAAGGACTTTACCAGGTGTGGCAGGGTATTGCTTAGGCTCTCTTTGAAGGGTAATAAAAAGCAAGCCATTGCTTGAAAAAATCATATTTGAGATTCAAATATCAAAAGAAATGGCCACCCCATTTAAATTCCTTACCCTAGTCCAAGAGACTAACTAGCAGCATCTAAATAAAAGCTTTTGCACTAACCCCAGTGAGTACTGATCAAAAATCAATCCACTTCACCACTAGGATCACAATTTGCGACAATGCAAGAGCATTTGCATTTCCAACCAGCATAAATATTGGCAAGACTAATATAGAGATTGCTGGCTTTGAGTGTATATCTGAGTGCTCCAAGGGAGTTTCTCTCTTTCTATGACACCAAAATACCTATGAATGTTATCAAAGCAAGGAAAATGATGTAACTAAAGATGAACAAACTCGCCACATTGAGCAACTCGACCCAAGCTTAGTCGAAATAGAGGGTATCGATCTAATCCCCATCGATCACCCCAAAATCTGAACAGATCCCAAAGCGCCAAACATGATATCAGCCCAACAAGAGCAAGGGGCATTTGATACCTAAAACCAAATAAATATAAAGCAAATAATGCACAATACTTTCTTTCATTCTTTCAGAATCACAAAATTCAAAAATTTTAGCGCAGAAAGCAGTAAACCAGAACTACAATAAAAGCAATTCCATGAATTTAACCTAAATTAGCTCTAAATTTCAATGCTAAATTTTGACAAAGAACTACGTTTGTGTGTCTTATGTGTGTACAGACAGAGAAAGAGTATTTACAGAGAGCAAGCGAAGAAGAGGATGAAGAGAGAGGCATAATTGCGAGCAAAGCGCNTTTTAGCGCAGAAAGCAGTAAACCAGAACTACAATAAAAGCAATTCCATGAATTTAACCTAAATTACCTCTAAATTTCAATGCTAAACTTTGACAAAGAACTACGTTTGTGTGTCTTATGTGTGTACAGACAGAGAAAGAGTATTTACATAGAGCAAGCGAAGAAGAGGATGAAGAGAGAGGCATAATTGCGAGCAAAGCGCTTGACATTTTCGTGGACTCTCAATCGAGCCTGAGAGGTCGACGAAGGGAGCGAGTAGGAATCTGAAGAACCGATAAATCGAAAAGTCCAGGAGGGAGTATCGCCGGAGAAGTCGTCGGAGGTGAGCTTGGAGAAGGGATTGAAAGTGAAGAGAAAGAGTAGGGTTCCGATGTATGAACAAAAAGATAAAAAGAATCCACCAGTGACTAAGGTAGCGGAGCTAGTGGTAGTGGCGGAGGAGGAGGAGGAGGAAGTGGTGGTGGAGAGGCGGTGGAGGTCAGAAGTTTGTTGGTCGAGGATTTCGAGGTAGCCGCGGTCTCTTAGCCACGACTCGAATGCTGGCTCGGGGACGCTCAGAGATAAGGGGTTGTTGGCCAAGAATGACATTTCTTCCCCGCCTCCAAATTTCTCTTACTGCCCCGAAATTTAAAATTAAACTGTCCAATGAATAGCAGTGGTTAGTAAATGAATAGCAGTGATTAAACTCGGAGTCTCTCTTCCCTTAATTTGATTGTTAGAGTNTGTCCAATGAATAGCAGTGATTAAACTCGGAGTCTCTCTTCCCTTAATTTGATTGTTAGAGTAATATCGAAAATTCGTTGTTTTTTATTTTATTTTTTTATAAATTACTTTTTCACTTGTTTATTTGAAGTCAAAATTGAAATTTCCAGTCTTCTATTGTATTGCAATTTACCTACATCATACCAAGATTGAGAGATGAGTTTGCAAACCCATTATTATCCCATAAAACCTGCTATGACTTCAAACATTATTTATACTGACCAAATTGACTTACGGACTTCAGTGGGCAGTTTTCACCAAGTAGTGAGGCTAAAAATTATTTGAAAATTCAGGCACAATCTTTAACCTCCCCCCCTCTTCCAGTAGCCAAGAATTTTTCCCATTTGCTCAAGTCACATCAATTATAGTTCAGCAAATTAGCAAATTGAACTACACTTTATATTGCAATTGCAACTAACCTTCCTCTTCATCCCACCAATTAGAGGAAGCCATTTTTCCTAACCTCAAGCCATTAACAGTGTACAATGCATGTATTGGTCACCAGCTAGTAAATGAATAAAAAGGCTATGTATTGAAGGCAGATTCAGTCTGCATGTACAAATCTGTGGACACCTCTAGCTGGATGCTCGGGATATGTTTGGTTCAAACTGGCCTGTGTTTGGTGACATTCAATAACACTGATGGCCCAGATTTTATTAAACTGGCGAAGACAGATCAATATCCAAAGCAGAATTAATCACCTAGTCATGGGGAATTGTAGAGAAATCTAGACTTTCACAATCTAAAGTTAATTTTTGAAGGACCAAGACAAATTGTAGACAACAAAAACATGGTACTCATGAAACAGAACAATTATAATTAAAATTTAAATAATGTATAGTTGGCTAACCAACCAAGCACTGAGATATTCTTCAGCTTAGGAGCTGTTGCTTCTGGTAGGAGAAATTGATACATACAGTTCACCAGTAATCACCACAAGACATGAGCCATCCACAAAGTGGTGGAACCGATTCTGATCCCTCACAACAATCCTACGATCTGTGATTTTTGAGATGAGTTTGGTTACGACATGACAATCTGAGCACACCCGAAGGTTCTTGAAAATCTTGATTGTAGTTCCTGGTCGAGTACTAATAAGCCCAAAAGCAATAGCAAACTTTTTACTGTGAACTTCAAGTGACTGCTCCTTTTCAATCTCTCCAATATCATGTAATACTATATCTGTCTGTGGTGTGTAACCATGAGCCTTAAGCCAACCCCATTTACCTCCTCCATCATCATATATATTTCTTTGCTCTTTGGGTGTCTCAAATTACCNAAGCCACCCCATTTACCTCCTCCATCATCATATATATTTCTTTGCTCTTTGGGTGTCTCAAATTACCAGCAAGGAACTCATGCACCTTATTATTCACTTCAATTGAGCTACAACCCGGCTCCTTTTGTACACCACTGTCTTTCATCAGGGTTCTCGTCCTTGCCACCCCATCCCAACGGCCTGTGGCGGCATATATGTTAGAAAGAAGAATGTAAGTTCCTGAATTGGCTAGATTATGGTCCACAAGGAACCTTACAATTTCCTCTGCCAAACCAATATTTCCATAAAGCCTACAGGCACCAAGTAATGTTTCCCACAAAACAGGATCAGGGGCAATCTTCATGCCCTTGACAAGTAGGTATGCCTCTTTCAAATGCCCAGCTCGGCCTAGAAGATTCACCATACATCTGTAATGCTCAATCTTTGGTTCAATACCAAATTCATCTTTCATTGAACGGAAAAAGCCCAACCCTCAGACACCAACCCTGCATGCGCACAAGCATTTAAAATACCAATAAATGTTATATCAGTGGGGTGGAGCAACATCCCACACATGTCACTGAACAATTGCAAAGCTTCTTGGCTAAATCCATTCATTGCATACCCCACAATCATCGAATTCCAAGCAATAATATCCTTATTCTTAATCTTATCAAAAACCAAGCGTGCATCCTCCAAACTACCACATGTGCTATACATATCAATCAATGCAGTACCCACGTGAACATTGATCTCAATCCCATTATTCTTTAAGTACGAATGAACCCACCTGCCTGACTCCAGTGCTCCAAGTTGCCCACAAGCAGAGAGAACTGCTAGTAAAGTTACTTCATTAGGCTTCAGGTTGGCCTTCAACATTTTCCTGAAAAGAACAAAAGCATCATTTGGCCTTCCATGCTGAGTATACCCATCTATCATTACATTCCAACTCACAACATCCCTGTCCTCCATTGAATCAAATAAAACCCGTGCCTCATCGACATCCCCATGTTTTCACATAACCCGTGATCATTGCTGTCAAAGAAACCAAACTCTTTTCAGGCATAGTATCAAACAATTTACGTGCAGAGGCAACTGTTGTGATCGTGCAGCAATTATGGTGAATAGTAAGGAATCAAACAATTAAGAAAGCAGGAGAAAATAACACAGAGATTTACGTGGTTCGGCAATGTGCTTACATCCACGAGAGCGAGCGGCTGTTCTTTTTCTTATTGAAGTAGGGTTACATCTTAAGTATTTATATAACCCTAATATGGACGTATTTACAAAAATACCCCTGTACCGTACCGCGGGGGCGTTGCCCCCGCACCCCCAACTTATCAGCGTCCCCTATATATAAATCCCGCAAGGCAGATGCCGTCGCGGGCTCCG